TCCAATGGATATGCGAGATTTAAGGCAAAAGAACCTCAAGCCTAACATGCAAACAAATATGGAAACAACAGCAAATGAGGCAACAAGGATGTCAAGCAGAATTGCAGAAATCAGGGACATTAATGTAATTAAACTAATCCCTTGGAGGCATCAGCTTCTCTATCTGCCTGATGTGGTTTCATAACTTCTGGAGGCTGTGCAATTTTTCACAATTCCCGTTAGACGTTGCACATGTCTCAGAAATCCTGACCATCGCCATGTTAACATTTTCAATGTTGATCAGACTTACAGACGCACCTGTTTTGGTCAGACACACAAATTGTGTTCATAGTAGCAGTGTCAGATATTTAGATGTGGCTCATTCCAGTGTCAGTAAACACTCGTGAGTAGCGTCCAGTCGGCGCTGCTGTACAACACTGACAGCTCTGAGGTGGACATCTTATAGGAGGAAAGCGAATGCCACTCTCTGTGAATGGCCAATAGAGGAGTTTGTATCATTGAAGGCATAAAGCAGACACCTACTACCATGCCAGCATTCACATGCTAACAAGAGCCTCACATCCAAATCAGTGCATTTAAATAACTCATCTCAAATACTGTATCTTGCGCTATGGACTTAGCTTCACAGAGGAGAAAAAGGAAAAGAGTGGACACTTTCAATATTGTTTGAAAATTCAGAGAAACCTCAAAAAACAAATGTTCTCTGCGGCTGCCTGTATTCATATAATGTGTCTGTATATGTAAGAAAATAATATAAAGAAAGAAGGATAGATTGCATATGTTGCATGCTTCTGCAAACCTATGTGTTACTGTATATGTAAGTAATGAAACAATAATCATACCATACTGAACCAACTATAGTAGTTTTTTAGATGACTTAAAGTTCTTATTATTTGACATATTTATAGCCATGAAATTAACTTATTTCTGGTTGTCTTAAAAATCCTTAACACATCAAATTATACTGAAAACATGACTAATCAATTCAACTGTAAAAAGTTGGTGTAAAACTTTATTGTGGTTTTTCTTCCCCCTTGCAACTAACTCCATTGGCTTTAAATATTCATGGGCCTAAATGAAAATGAGATTAAATGAAAATAGGGAAAAAAAGACAAATTTTTTTTGTATTACATTAAATTATAGTGTAGATTATGTTAGATTAGAATTATAGGAATCTAATTTCATTACAAACATTTTTAATGAGAACAAAAAGGATTTACAGGTCAGTAATGCTACACAGTAAGCACAGGTTGTGTCCAGGTCAACAGTGTTTGATGGCCTGTGCACTGGTGTGCAGAGTGGAGAAACACAGGCAGTGATGGTGCTAAAACTGAACTGCTTGTTAAACTCTACAAAAGATAACAGGCAACCGAGGTAGCCCAGTCAATCCAGTGCATGTTTGAATGGCTGACCATGTTAAGCTCTTAAAGCAGGCATTAATCCAGGATTTTAGGAGCAAAGCTAAGTTTGGCACATTATCATGGCAAGGCCCAGACCTTAGCTGAACTTCAATCGCTATGCAGGAGCACTGACAGTCACACAGGACTAAGACATAACTAGCACTGCAACTAGATGGGAATAATAGGTGTGCTCATAAAACAATAACGTAAAATCCTGAAGTTTGAAGTCCAACTGATTTATTAGCATCTCAGCTACATTTGAATGTATCATGATTTACTAAAAATAGAGACTTTCTGCTGGTTATGTGTCATAATCTGCATTCAGGATATATATCTTACTACACCAGATACCAATCTGTATTGTTATGTGAAGCATTCTAGCAAAAGCTTGCTCAGAGTATTGGCTCTCACAGAGCCCGAGTGACCTCTCTGGCCAGCCTCAGCGCCAGCCTCGCCCCTCCAGACACACACAGGCCAGACCAGAGCAGAGCCTCCTCTGCTCTGGTCTGCTCCAGATACACACAGGCCAGCTCAGATCAACATCTAAGATAGCTGTGCAGACAGACAAACATATTAAAAGCTGACAGCTCCTGACCATGCATCTGCAAAAGTAGCACCATCATGTTTTAGCAGTGGCACAAATACCCACCAGCCAATATGACGGCAGCGAGCATACAGTCACGTGATGTGCACAAACAAAGGTACATGCACGCACAAGCACGCATGCACACACACATACAGACAGACACACACAAACACACACACACACACCAATCTTAGGGTGCAGTCATAGGGCTTGGGCCAGGGCTTAGGGCTAGAGCATTGGCTTAGGGAACTGGGTGTGCTTGTTGGCAGATGGGGGATATTAGGGGCAGTGTGTTGACTGATAAATCTTCCGGCACAGTGTAGGAACCTGAGCTATCATCTGACATATGAAAAAATACCAGAGAATCTGTGGAGAAACGAGAGGAAATTAAATGAGAGGAGGATGAAGGCGCACTGTAGCAGGCATCGGTTGTGCTCCTCATCCTCACCCACAAACACGCTCTGTATTGTGGAAGCGCACACACACGCACACACGCGCGCGCACACACACACACACACACACACACACACACATACACACTGTCACTTCAATCTACATATCAGATTTCATTCATGTTTCTACATTTATTCAGCTTGTGTCATGAGCACAACAGTAGCTAAAACACTGTATGGCTAATGCACGTGTCAAAAATAGTCTTGTACGCTTGTAAGAATACCTGCTACTTCCTGTGTGAGATTTATGGAGCTTAAAAAACTGGATCATCACTGTGTGACAGTCTTCATTTATGGATATTGTTTACTGTATTGTAAAGGATGAAAAGACACCTACTGATAGTTATTAAAAAATGCATGATATTTTGATTTAAACTTTAATTACAATGGTAGTCTTGCTGCGATGAGAAAAATGTGGAATTGAGTGCTGTCTTTTATTTTTGTGACTTTTATTCTCAATTTGGCAGGAAAAGCTCATGAAGCAGAGGGGTTGATGGGTAGTTTCTGTCACAGTGTGTCAAAGACACTGGAGTATGATGCACCTTTAATTTGAGATATGAAAACAAGAAAAAGCGGGTGTTTTTCACATGTGAAGAAGTTATACACTTCCTTTTACTGTAAACTTAGTTGCCAGTTTATTAAGTACACCTAGCTAAATCTAATGCTTTCTAAAACACCAGCTCTGCAGCAAATTGTACCATGTGGTAAGTTAAAATGTTTAATATCTTTTGAGAGGTTTTGAAGAGGTGTGAATTGAACTTTAGGGTAATTAAAGTTAAATTTTTATTGTGTTATACTGAGAGGTGTGTCTGATGTTTTTTCCAACCCACTTACATCAGCGAGGGTGGATTAAATTTGTATTTCTAATGAACATACCTCTATAAAAACTCCAAAATTGTGCTTTAAATGTCTGTCAATAAAAAAAGGTGCTTCCTTAGATTATTTGTGATCAAACACAGCTTAACTATCAGGGTTAATATTAGTCCGGAAATGCAAAAATAAACTGTGTCAGAGCCCACACTCACCAGAGTAAAATATATTTGATATTTTGAACACCTGCCCCACAGCCATGTCAGCTCTGTGAGTGGACAGATAATTCTCCAATCAACACTTGTCGACTCCAAATAATTGCAACTGAAAAAAAAATCAACAGTTATTAACAGACTGGGAGAGTTGCTGTGCATGGTGTTTGGGTTTATGTGTGTGTTAGTGAGTGTGAGTGAGTAAGTTAGTTAGAGAGAGAAAGAGAGAGAAAGAGAGAGGGAGAGTCCAAATGGATTTCAGCCCTAGAATAAATCACTGTCGCCACAGAAACAAGCCGACAGCTGTGATGGATGGCTGAAATTTTTGTGTTGATGTCTTTAGTATTGCTGACAATTTGGTAGTCCTGGCTTTTCCACTTTTCCTGTGCTTGCGTGTGGCTAAACACATCTAAATGCTGGCACATACCCATACCTCTACACACAGGATTTTGCACCTGCTCAAGATCTTTTTGGATAAAAATCATCTTTTGCCAGATTCTTTCCCACATAAAAGCTGAATATTACAAATTCACAAACCAAATCTACATTCTTAAAAAAATTCTGAACACTTTTTTGTGTTAATAATGAAATACACTGTATTAAATGTTTGAAAACTAATATCATAAAAACTCAAATTTTCCTGAATGATCTCCCAAAAGTGCAACACAATTGTGAGCACAACTTTCTGTAGTGAAACAGTGGACACCATCTTGTGTGTGAGCACTCTGGTCACATGTTCTTATTGCACCTGTATGCACTGACCCTCTTGCTGGATGTCATCCTATGAATGCTGGGTGTGTGTGGAGCACACACTGTCTGTCAATGACGTCTGCTGTCAACACTGTCCAGGCAAAAGTGATTTCCTCTTTTATTTCCTATTACTTTTTTTTGTTTGTTTGTTTTTTTTGTTGTTGTTTTTTTTTTCAACGACCACGTTTTACTCCCAGTCCTGTTACCTGGCCCACTCCAGTGCGGCGATTCTGCCTCTGCCACAAATGCACAGTCACCCCCTTTTCTAATACACACACACACACACACACACAAACATACACACACACCTGACTTGACTGCTACTGTACAAATTCACAAATTCCAAAAATAAAACATATTTGCTTTTTAAAAACAGTCTGTACACAACACACTGTATACAGCAGCTATACACCTATGCATAAAGTTATGTAAACACAAGAACACACACACACACACACTCTCTCTCTCTCTCCCTCCCCCCCCCCCCCCACACTCTCTTTCTCACACACACACGCACACACACACACGCACACGCACACACACACACACAAAGTAAAGAGTTGGGCCGCTCTAAGCCAGCCCCCCCACATCCAGTGTTTCCATCTGCTCTCACCTGGCAGGATCAAAAAGAGCACACTTCCCACAAACTTACAAAGAATCAATACTTTCTCCAGCAAAACACAGCAGTCACAGCCTCAGCCTCAGTCCCAGCTCCACACTAACTGTACTCAAAGTACTGTAGACTGAGAGAAAGAATCCACAGAGCAGAAATTAAAAAGGATTTACTGACCTTACTGTCTTTTTTTCCTCCCCTTTCTCTCCCACGTCCAATCCCCTCTTTTTCTTCTGCTGGTTCTTGTCCTCTAAACCTCTAGACTAAGTAAGTCATGCAGGAGCTGCTTCCTGCTCCTGCTCAGCCCTACGCCACTGTATTAGTCTGATTTCACACTCTGCAGCCTAGCCTCTTGTCCTGAAGGGGACGGTGAATGTGCTGCTTATTTAGAAGCTGGCGCGCACTACCTGGGCTTGTAGGCAGCTGTTTAAAGCACGAGGCAACATCCAGGGTGCATAATACCCCCTCTTCCTTACACACACACACTCACACACACATACACACTCACACACACACACATCAGCTCTCTCTCTCTCTCTCCCTCTCGCTCAAACACACACATGCACACACTCACTAGCTGGCTGGCTCGCAAGATAGGCAACGGCACAAACACACGCACGCTCATGCACGCGAGCAAAGTGAAATACACACACATGCAAGCGGTCTGTCAGAGGTCTCTCTACCTTGGCTGGGATAGCAGGCAGTGTGAGGATACACACACAGGCACAGTGAGATGGGATGGCTGCTCCGTTCTGTCTCCTTCTCTCTAAGTGTTTAGAAGACAATTTCAACAAGGGATTGCTCCCAATCTACTAGGGTGATCCACATGGATGAGTTATAATATGCTTGCCACTCTCTACCTCTCTCTTGCCCCCCCTCCCCTCCATCCCCCCCTCCTCTGTTCCCTCTCTCTCATTCTCTGTCTCACTCTCTTACTCTCTTACTCTCTCTCTCTCTCTCTCTCTCTCTCTCTCACTCTTTCGCTCTCATACTCGTTGTTTTAGCCTATTACCGAGCCGTCACCGCTTTCAGTCCAGGAGGAAAGCCTTCCCTTCTTGGATTCTATATTTCTCTTCTCTCTGGATGTGCATGAGATGGGGGCCAAAGACTGACTCCACCTGAATGCGTATTAGTAAAATGCATTATTTATTGCAAAGCTGCATTTTTTTTTTCTTCTGATATGCCGGTGGACACGAGGGGGAAGGGAGCAGCGGTGGTGGCTACATCAGCAGTGAAAGGGTGTTATTTGTGATGTGTGTGTTTGGGGGAGGCAGGGTGGTGGGAGGGGAGGGGAGGGGGGGGAGTTAGGGATGAAGGGTCAGGATTTGGGATAGCGGGGGTCTGAAGGGAGGTGAAAAGAATACATAAGATATGATATTAATTTATTTATTTATTCAATGACTGGGATTGCCTTATCATTCAGGGTGCTGCCTAATGACATCACTGCTGGCTTCTCCAAGCTGTCCCAAATCACACTGCCACTCACTTTTTCATCAGAAATGGCTTCAATTTATAACACGCTGCGTGTGTGTGTGTGTGTGTGTGTGTGTGTCAGAGAAAGTGACAGGGAAAAGGAAAGATAAAGTGAGTGAGGTAGACAATCATAAAAAGTGTAACAAAGAACAAATAAGATTTCAGAGGCAAAAACAAAGCTCACTTGTAAAACCATTATTCTCTACTACTGAAAATTGACCAGAAAATGTTATCTATTGCGTAAATATTACATTCAAAAAATTACATTTACACAAAAGTAATAAAACACACTTTTTTTTTTAAAGTAAAATTATCAATGTTCGCACTCTACAAACTATGTCAGCCACTTTCACAAAATAAGAAAAATGGTTGTTTACATTTACAATTAAAATGCTACGCACGTTTCCGTTAGGGCATTTACTAATAATTAACATTTAATTTAATTTAACTTTTTTAAACTATAAGATAATTAAGCAATTTTTGTAATGAGATTACTCTAATTCTGTTACATGTGATCAATTAGTCCAGCCCCTTAATTACCTTATTTATGTTAACTACAAGGTACTTTCATTCTACAGCATTAGGATGATGTTAATTATTAATATTTCTAAACCTTTCAGTTACTTATATGATTAATTAGTGTCTGATTAATCATCTGAAGGAGCCAAGTTTTAGTCAATAAAGTAAGTTGATTGACACACGTACACTTAATTTAAAAAAAAGGAAGAAATTTTGAAATATTAAATAGCAATAAAACTTGCCTTTATATTCGATCAAATATTTACAGATATTTAAGAGGATTATAACAAATCCCTGATAAAACCTCAGTCCTTTTGGTGAGCTGTTTCAGTTAGAAAAAAAAATTAAAAGATGTAATAAATGCTTACAGTATTACTCGTCTAAGATTTCATTAAAACGATAAAAGAAATGGGCCTCACACACCTAAGTCTGTGACACACCTGTGTGTCAAAAACACGACTTCCAAAAATGTCCTTGACCCATTTCACCCCGTTTAACCAGACAAAAATTATAACGCTAACTAAAAAACAAGATACAAGGTTTTCATCTGTATCTTTAGTTTTAATTGTTAAATAGTTAAATAATAAATCACTTAACAATGAGTGGGGTCGTAGCACTTCTGGGATCCTATATGATGACAGAATGGGAATGGCCAAAGGTTGGCTCAAGCATAGCCTGGACTCAGACACAGAGAGGGGAGGGAGGCTGGAAGTGACTGTGTAAACTGGAGTTGCCATGCTGGTCAACAGGTGGCCGCAATGTGCACCCATGGGGGCAACCAGCCAGGCAGGAGTCATGACTGCAGAGTGGACCCCCAAGACTCTGTCAGCACTATCAGCCTTCCTTCCCCCCTACAGCAGGAAAAACAGACCACCACAACAGAAACATAACCTTCCAGTATGAAGGCTGCTAAAGCCTCTGCTGAATATCTAATTGGGATTTTCTCAACACAGTCAAACTAAGCTTGCATAGATTTAATCTACCTCATAAAAGCTCAAATCAAACAACTAACAAACACAGTTACTGAATTTAAAACCCACAAAAAGATTCAAAGTTGGCTGTTTACCCAATCCGTAACTGTCCGTGTGACGCTCACTGCGCCACACTTTATTATAAAGAAGTCTAATTCAGTCTCCAGCTGTCTGCCCCTAGCAGGGCCTGTTAACAGCTTGGTCCTCAGCCACAGGATGCCCATCTACTGTACCTGCGAAAAGGAAATGATGTGGCCCAAGGCCCAGCCAGGCCATTCTATCACCGCCATTAGGGCTTAAGCAGAACTGGAAAATTACTCCATTGGCATTAACAGTCCACCTCAATCATTTTAATACTATCATAATCATGAGACTTTCTAATATTATTTTTAAAAGCCTTGGTAAGAAAAAAGGAATTTCATTTCCTTTGCTTAACCATCTTAAATTGAGAGAGAGTAAGTGAATGGAGGAGAAAGTGATATCTTATGAGACAGGGGAAGAAAGTGAAAGAGTCACCTCTAACCCCCTCCGCCCCCTCCTCCACTGCTTTCACCACCAGCGACCCTCACACTATAACACACACCTCTGTCTGTCTGCAGCATCTTTGTGCCCTGCCTGCTTCACTATACAAGTCACAAGAGATAAGGGTTTGAAAAACAAACAAGGAGGACGATTAATATTAATGATTGGTCCAGTCTAACTATGTTCCCTCTTCACACAGCTGCCACGTGCCCAACTTAACCTTACCACCCCATCCGACCAGTGATATGTAAAGATGCCCTCCTGTGTTCTGATCGCCACTCTGTGTACAATATATTCCAGACTTAACACCACTAAACAGTCCAAGACTTAATGTTTCCCCCTCTTCTCTTCTGTTTTTAAACTTTCAATTTTCCTGAATAGCATTATTATGTATTATTAATATCGCTGAATTATTACTCATTTTCCTCTTAAAATGGAGTGCTTTAATTCACATTTGAAGTACTCATCAAGGCTATGCAGCGAAATGGATGTGGAAGGATACATTATATTTGCAAAAATGCAAAGGGTGAATTAAAAATATATAGCAATACTAAAATATTAACTATTAATTTCAAAAAGATCGTTTGCCCAGGAAAAAAAAATGAGCCTTTTCATTACTTCTATGACTCTTTTTCTTTTTTGAAGTGTACCTCTCTGATTGTGGGTCTTTGAATAATGTGCAATTATCATGTACTGAATATTCACCTGTGCATCAAGTACACTGAATATTCTATTTCCATTATGAGACAGCGCCGTGGATGTTCACTTTCAGGGCATGAAAGGGGGACATGGGTGCAGTGTGGCAGAAATGATGCAGTGTAAAATTCATGTCCAATACGATATCAGATGAAGGTTCAGTCAACAATGGAAAAAAATAGTAGAAAATAAAAATCAAAATAGGTCCAAACATGATAGTTTCAACTATCTCTGCCTCATGTTCACTCCTCATTTTTTTATACAATAGTGAACTCTAATTCACCCTTGAAAGCGTGACCTTGTGCTGTGTGACAGGAGATAGCCGCAGCATGAAGACAGGACGCCACTTATCATCAAGGGACGAGGTGGCTGTTTAATTTCACACCACCAGTGGCTAAAACCCCTGTTAGTGTGGAGCATCACAATGGCAGCTACGCTGGGGGAGCAGATGTCCTAGTGAAGGGGTGTAAAGAGGGAGGAGGTTGGGTTGGGAGAAGGACAGCAAAGAGGAGCAATGGTGGTGGTGGTGTGTGTGTGTAGGGTGGTTTGCACTGTCGCTGTGTATTGTACTCAGAGCACAGTCTGACCCTGTGCGCATGCCCAGATAAACAGCGCCTCTGCCTTTCACACACGCAAAAACAGCACAAATAAAAACATGCACTGTGACGTTTAGTCATATAGCTCATGGGCTGTAATTAAAAGTAGCAGGATGAGCGTGAGGGAACATGAACTGGACTGGGAGAAGACAGGCGAGAGCTAAGGTGCAGCTGTGATGGCGGTGAATGAGAGGAGAATTTTGTAGCGCGGTCCACGCCACAGAGGCCAATATCACTGAGAGCCCAATTGCTTTCTGAAGAGCTTTCCATTGTCTGCAGTGATGAACTTGAGCTCTGGCCTCCAACCCAGGGGTCTTTCCGTCTAATCCTGAGTGCCCCTGGCTCCCCTTCACAGTCTCTCTGTCTCACACACACACACACACACACACACATACACACAGGCGGACAGACATAATACACACCCTTCAACTGACGCCTGACATGACTGCAGGGTTGAACAGTGACCAGCGCCTCCCAACACAGCTGAATATAAAACACCGTAATGAGCGGGGCAAGAAAATGGCTTCCCTC